ATTGGAAATGGCCAGGTTGCCGGTTGCTGAAGTTTCTGCATGAAACCCGCCTTTATCGGGAACATTGAAGGGCATGGATAGAAAGGAAAGGAAAGTGCAGGATGTATAAAGAAAACGGAGCGAAGGAAGGCTGCTGAAATACTGGATGAAGAAAATGAAGACACGGATGCATACAAAGAAAAAAAAACAAGCGATGCAGATGAAGAAACGAAGTTTGTAATGAATGGAAGAAGATGCCGGGGAGGAAATTAAAGAAGAAGCAGCGGAAGAAAGTTGCCGATGAATGTTGGAAGCAAGTGAGTTACTAAAGAAGATACTGAAGGGTAATACAGAAGACGACCTAGAGGAGATCGAAGAAGATGGAGTGAAAAAGAATGAAAATGAAGCAGAAGAGGAAAGTGCGACAGCAGGCGTGAATGAATAAGAAGATGCAGATTAACGCTGCTGTTATGAGCAGAAGAAGACGGAAAATAATGGATCTACAACAAGCTGGAAACGAGAAGATGATCGAGGAGAAACAGAAGAATTCGAAGATGGAAAAAGTTGAAGATGAGAAAGTGAAGGCAGGGTGGCAAAATTACCAAAAGTGTGAAAGTATAGAATCAGAAAGAAGAATAAAATGCAGCAGAAGTACAATGAAGAACACAATTACAATAGGGTAGAGCGTTACTTCGTCGTAATCACCCATTTCCGTTCTATCGATCAGAAAAGATGAATAATATCAATGATTTCATAATAGAATTGTTCCGATGCGTTAGTTCATTAGCTACAACATAAATCCTATTAGAGCGCATTGTATGAATATGTACGCTCATTGCTCTCAAAACAAAAGAAGTGCTCCTAGCGAATCCCCTTTTTCTACGTTTATCCGTAGGACGAAGAAAATCTAATGGCGTTTCAATGCGTTAGGACGAAATTGAAACTCATAGGACGGATTTAGAATCAAGAAGCAGTATTATATTTTGAGCAATATCTAAACAATTCGTGACTCTTTATCAAATCCAACGGTACGTATGGAAAGGTGAATAAATTCAGAAGTCATATTTGATGGAAACATTCCATAGTTTTGTTCAAACCCGTTCAAAAAAGAGAGGTAAAACGCGGGTTGTGCTTAGTAGGACGGAAATTATATCAAAAACCCTATACATATTTACACTATATTGCTCTCAAAACAATAGAAGCGCTCCTACCGAATCCAATTTTTCTACCATTATCCGTAGGACGAAGAAAATCTAATGGCGTTTCAATGCGTTAGGACGGAAATGAAACTCGTAGGACGAATTTCGAATTAAGAATCAGTGTTAGATTTTTAATAATATCTCAAAATTGTTTGACTCTGGAAAGGTGAATAAATTTAGAAGTTATCTTTGATGAAAACATTCCATTGTTCAAACCCTTTAAAAAAAGAGAGGTAAAGTGCGGAATGTGCTAAGCAGGACGGAAATTAGATCGAAACCCTATCTGGCCCAGAGCAGCAGAGAGCAAGAAGACAAAAGCTTAGTGAAAATCTACCACACTAACACTAAAACAAACATCATACAAAATACATTTGTACTGATGGTGACATTAATGCATCTTTTGGATGTAAAGTGTCGTAAATAAATAACAACAACAACTACATCTTTTATGTGTAACTTTTTTAATTTAAATTTCACATGATCATCATCTTCGATGCATGACAGTTTTGAAGGAGACGCATGTTTGGTTATCTCTTTTTTTTTTTAAAGTTGTTATACCCAGTTATATAAAAAAAATCAGCATAGTCTAGTTGATTTTATGGAAGTTAAAATAATAATATGTACATATATTTTTTTTATTATATACAATAATATACTACCTTTAAAATGCCGTCAAGCTAAAGTTTTTATAATTGCCCCAACCTGAAAATTAACATATGAAAAGATCGTATTAAAAAAACGTCATTCATACTAAATCGGCAAAAGGCACGACAAAAATTGCGTCTTCAAAAGTTTTAATCATAAGACAATTTTGCTGAAAAATTTGAAATAATAAAAATATTGCAAAAAAAAATGTTTTTTCGAGACACCCTAAGTTATTTGAGGAAAATTGCTCTAAATCGGTCAATTTAAGAGATAAAATTTTTTTTTTTTAACGAAGCTGCTTGAAATTAGCTGAGCTACATTTTTTTTCCAAAAAATGTAAGCTATTATTTCCGCAAACAAAAAAGTTATGTTTCATACTTTCCTGATAATGAGAACCACCCTAGTATCAATTGACGCTTAAAAAAAGGGCTTAACTATAAGGACCAACTATGTAGAAGACACTTTTTTTCTAATGTTTCTATTTCAGGGTCTAAATGCATCTTTCCTACTAAAGTCTCATTCTGGACCACTGTTCATTGTGAAAAGTGAAAGATTGAATTGAGAATCTGTATTAGAAATCATGAACAAAACACTGTGAGATCTCACAAGAACAAAGCCCTGTGGTTAGATAACAGTAGCTCCAAATGTTCTCATCACGTGGCGCTAATGTGCAAGTCAGAACTTTACGCCGGTCCTTAACTTAGTGTTCGAGATGCACTTCCACAGTTGTTAATTGAGAGCTTTCTAAGCCTCTACCATTTTTGCATTAGTATTATTGTGTGGCAGGTGCAATCTACTCTTGCCCTGGGAAGTCGAGGAATTTTTCATCCCGAAAAATTCTTAGACCAAAATGGGGATCGAGCACAGCCGCCTTCAGCATCGACTGACTTTATAGCTGCATCTTAACTTACTGAGCTAAGGGAGGTTCCAGAGTCAATTTCCTTGATCATATGGGAAACTGATTTCTTCGGCAAAGTTTTTCAGGTGTTGCTTTAGTTGGAGTACAGATTAGATCACAATTTTCTCACTATGCGGCGATGATGTGCATATGAACTTTCTGCAGGCTATATAGTTTCTCGATTTGCGGCACTAGTGTGGTTATCTAGGAAGTTACTGTGTATATAAATTTGCTGAGCTCAATACTTATCATTAGTATGGGTATGGGGTATGATGATTGTTGTCTGATGCCATGCTTAAATTCAAGGTGGCTACTTACTGATTCGAAAAAAAAGATTCAATTAACATACAATAAGGGTATCCTATGAAGGAGAACGACATTGAAAGATTTTGGTAAGTTCCTGATTAAAAAAAAACATCAGATACCCCAGATTATAAGTATTCACGATACAAGTACGTCATAAAGAGGCCGGAAATCTATGTCTGATGCCATTCGATCTCTCGATTTGTATTCCGTCGATCATGTATTCCATACTGAGTACCAATGCTACCAACGCCAAGGCGGCAGCCCTCACCCTGAACCCTACCTATCCGACCCATCAACTTATGGACCGAGGACCAATGGCTTTACTTCCCTTCCCTGCCGACTGGGATTGAACCCAGGCCCATTGGGGTGAGAGAGGCAATCACGCTTACGACTACACCGCGCCGGTATGTCTGATACCATGTTCGGTTTCAAGTTTTCCCGCTTAGGTATTTAATATATTTATGTGACCATATCTTCGCCATACACCATAATGTTTTCAATCTGTAAAGATTTCTTCTTCACAGGTTGCGGCAGCTTCAATCGACTCTGTAATTTACGAGCAACGCACGAGAAAGCAAAATCCTAAGTTCCTTTCATTCGAATTTAGTCCAACTGCTGCCTTCAGTTCTGGTCGAAGGTGTCATCGCATAAGTATGTAAATAGCCAAGTTCCAAATGGCAAACATTGCATAATCCAACCGTCGAAGACGACAAAGACCCTAGCTGATTTCGTTCCTCTCTATTAGCATAAAACTTCGAGCTTTGTTTTCCTCCACAATAATGCCGTTTACCTCGTCGTCGAAGTAACCAAATGAGCCATGAATTAAATTTACAAGTATTTTAACGGAGCACAGTGCGTTTGTTTTGTTGAGTTGGATACAAGATTTCAAGTCCTTTCGAAGCCGAAACCAATCAACCGGCAAGTACCAACTTGTATACATAAGATCGTTGCCTAAAAATTAGAATTGTGCAACTAGCTCCACTGCTTTCACGGTTATCCTAAGAATCACAAAAAATACGTATGCCAATGAACCGCCACCGGCAGCGCGGCGACCGTGGTTAGTTGACGAAGGAAAAAAAAAATAACTCTGCTTCGGACCGTACCTACCTAATGTCAATGTTCAACATGCTTCTCGTCGCTACCGATGCTCCGACCCACGGGCATATGCAGATGAACTTGACGTGTATGTTTGAAGTGCAGGCAGGCGCAAAACGAAAGTACCACTTGGCCTTGCCCAAAATTAACCATCAAACATCGGGCATCAAATAAATTCATTGACTTGGTAGGGGGCTCCCTTAGCTCTGTCGGTAAAGTCGCTGCTATATAGCTGGACAATGCTGGAGGCAGCTAAGTTCGATTCGGTTTAGGATTTTTTCGTCTTCCCTGGGCATAGAGTATGGTTGTACTTGCCACACAATAATACAAATGTAAAAATGGTACAGGCTTAGAAAGTTCTCAATTAACAACTGTGGAAGTGCTCAATGAACACTAAGTTGAGAGCTTGCGTGATAACCCAGTAGGGACGTAATAAATCTAAAGAAGAAGAAACAGAAGGTACCAAGTAAATTTAGGGCCAACGTCACGTGCGACGGCGAGAGGAAAGGAATCATCAAACAATCGTTTCGACGCAGCAGCCACCGTGTAGCAGCCGGCGTCGTTTATTGTTTTCAATGCCAAGTTTAGTGAGCGAGTACCCAACTCTTCTTAATAGGTGCTTAGGTGTTGTTGTTGTTGATGTCGTGTTTTATCGCCAGCAGTTCATTTCGCGTGCACTTTACCATTGATGCCCATTTCATTCATAAGAGCGTTTCTCAGGGTGAATTCAACAGGGTTGAAACAGGGAGTGGATCTATCTTTGTTCAAAGTGATCACGTACGGTCGGAAAAGTGAATGCATCTAATGCGTGGCATTGGTCTCGAACTTGAACGTTCAGAAGCAATTAGACTTTTGCAATCAACATTAACTGTACTTACTTTTTTTGGAACATGATCAGCGGGTCAGCTTCCAGATCGGACATGTCGATCTTCTTGCCGTATTCGACGACCTGTGAATTAAATAAAAACGATCAATTGATTAACGATATGATCTGGATGAAGTTTCGAAAAAGCCCCTTTTTACCTTGGGATGTTTGCGGGACAGCAGCCAACCGACGTGGGAGAAGAAGAACCCACGGTTGGCGTTGTGCGGGTCCGCGTCAGTATCCGAAAACTTGTGATGTTGTCGGTGATCCCGAACCCACACGTACAGGCAGTTCTGACCGGCTAGCGTGTGTAACCAAAGCAGCAGCACTCTCAGCCACGGTGAAGCCTTGAACGCCCGGTGGGCCCATAACCGATGGGCACCCATCGTGACTCCCTGACCGGACATGTACATCAACCAGAAGGCTGTAAACCAATAAGACAACTCAGATTCAAACCAATCACTACAACTCGATGCCATACTCACAGTAGAGCGTCGTCCGCCAGTCACAATACAGCCAGAACGACAGATGTAACCCGATCCAGCCGCAGATGTGCAACGCCGCGAAACCTATCACATTTTTCCAGACGATTTCTCGTTTGAAGTTGAAATCCGTCCCGATCTCCGACGGCAGGATTGGCGTGTGTGAACCGATGTCTTTCAGCTTTTTGTCCACTTCTTGCTCGTGGGCCAGACTGCTACAGCTGGTGAGGGCTTTTTGGAACTGAGTTGGATCCAGGGTGGAATCCTGTGCGGTAAGTTCATCGCGAAGTTCTGTCAGGCTGGGAAGCTGGCTACACGTGGAGGTCTGCATGGTTTGCTTGGTGTTGGAGATGGAGGTATCGATCAGTTCGGCCGTTTTGGCACAGAGCATCGGCTTTGTTTGGGAGTCGGCTCCCATGGCTGAAAATGAAGGTGGGTTCACTTAGTAGGTTGGATTCAGAATACGCATTTCTTTTTAATTTAGTGATCGACTTGTTTGTATTGGAAAATTCTCAGTGAACAAGCAACTTTTTTATTCAAATTTAATATAAACAAATAAATGTAGAGTTTGGCTAGAATCACATCCAGTGAAAATTATTGGGGAGATTTCTCATATAGCATTTCATATAATCAAACAAACCTAGCACCGAATGCTCCACTGCTACACGTTATGGAATTATTTCAAGACTAGTACATCAATATCGAAGATTCAGTCTTTGGCTCAAGTCATGATATGATCACTTCCAAGCCTAGCAAGACAAATTTCACACCAACTTGACCAGTGGTTGGCAGCACCCTCTCAGAATTTCAAATAATTGGGTGTGAGACTTTGACTTATTAAGCATCTTTGCAGACTTGTTTCCAAAAAACCTAACTTTTGAAAAGGTCTAGTTCTTAGGAAAGATTAAAGAATTACAGTACATCTTCGAAACAGCAAGACTCAACGGATACAAAGAGACCACAATCCAGGCAATCATCGATAAAAAAGCGAAAATTCTACAAAGGAGATTATTTACATCCCGCACCTGAACCCTTGAAACGAGTGTCCGTTCGATTTGATTAAGATATTACTTGTCACCTAAGACCACAGTTAAAAAAAAAATCGGATTAGATTTAGTTTTCACTAGTAGACATAACCAGTTAAAATCATTGGTAGGATCCATTAAAGCCCCAGTTAATGATTCAGGTAAAGCAGGTGATATAAAATAAGCTTTTTGACGTAGGACTACGTCTGTGATTTCTATATGGGGGTACACTTTGTTAAAATCGAAAATGGAACATGTAACAAAATTATGAAAGCTTTTGAACGTTAATATCTCAGCTGCCCCTGGACCAATTGAAATAATTTTATCACCAATCTATCAGAAATATTGCTACGCATCTGTTAATTTAAGACTTAATAATTTTTCATAATGTCACTATTGAAAATTGCACGAATTTGCAACTGTTGCTATAATAATTCAAATTATCTCCGATTGCCTGCGAAAAGTGATTTCCCTAACACAGATTTCAAACTTGAATTCCATCCAGTCTCACCAAACGGTGTTTATTCACTCACCGCGTGGTGAGGGGTGGTGTTCTCCAAAACACAACGAAAGGCTGCCTACAAGTAGTGAGCTGCAGCCCACATGAGCATCCATAGAAGGAGGAAGAAGCCGCACCGCTATTGATCGGAATCAGTAGCTCTTCGTGAGTCGCTGTGGATCATCTATGTCAAGCGCGTCTTATAAAAGAGTATTCCTATTCCTACACAAAACACAAGCTCATGTTTAAGTTAGATAATAACATTTATTATATAAGTCCACGTAGTCCTACGTCACCATTGCGTACAACCCCATTGGGCTGTCCCTTGTAGTTTTTTTTTTAAATTCTTTATTAAGGAGATTTTTAGCCTTTGGCTAGTTTATCCCCGGATACAATAAGCTGTAATCATTGTAACAAAGTATATGTAGGACAAACCAAGAGAACTTAAGCAACTAGATCTAATGAACATATAGCGGAGGTTAATAAGACCTAACATATGATTTCAAATCAAAGGTTAAAGAAAATATCTTCACCATTGGCGTAGCTCATGGGGGTGCCAAGGGGGCCAGGCCCCCTCCAGAATTATCTAGCCCCCCCCAGGATTTTTTGGTTTTTTTGACTCGTGGGTATTTTGTTAAGCTTGTCAAGTTCGATGTTACTATTTAACAGCGATTAATAAAATTGGACCACAAACAACGATGTTTCTTACAGTTCTTTAAGTTGAATCCTTTTCTTATGTTCTGGACTAAAAGAAACAGTTTTGAGAAGTTATATAATATCGATATTTAATCGATGGCATCATAAGACGTCTTCAGGCTCTACAAAAAGGCCATGAGCCCAGGGTATTTTTTTCACCCTGTCCAAGGATGAGGGGCTTGATGATGATTTGTCAAGTGTCGCTATGATTTTTTTTGCAATTTGATAAAATTGTAGTTTTTCTCCAGTTCATTGATTTGAAAGGTTCATGCGAGTTAATTTCACGGAGCCGTAAATTGTAGTTTTATCATAATTTTAATATTAGCATAAAATAAAATAGTAATTTTAAAATCGCTTTTGTAATGCTAAGGTAAATAGTTTGCTTTGAGTGTAAAGTTAATTTATAAGAAAGTTCTAACAGTTTTTTTTTTGCACTTCGAAACTCTAACATAGTAGCAGTGACAGTGTCGCATGTCCTAACAACAACTGCCTGCGACTGGTGTTCGAGGGGCCGACAGGGCTGAATACGGGTCAATACTAACAAAACTCTAATACTAACATGACCCCGAAACTAACGTTCATCCATTGCACTAATAGTTATAATGTAGTTGTACTTTCCTAATAACCCATCTATCACAGACAAACAGACATAACACTCGGTTGGACAGGTTGTTCATCGAATACGCATTTGACGGTAAATTCGGGTGTTTTTGGTTGGTGGTGCCGCCACCTGTGGCGCGCACGGTCGGTTCCCTTGCGTTTGACGTCTGCACACTAGCGCCATCTGTTCAGCGTACTATCCATCACATGATGGCGGTAGTGTTTTAGTGACTATGTTTTGTGGAGAAAAATATGAAATGTGTTATTTCTGTTTGTCTGTGCATCTATGTTTCTTTTTCGTTGTGTGTGTGTGTGTGGGGGGGGGGGGGGTGGTTAATGTTACCAATACTAATACCTTTCTTTCTGTTCTTTTATTCGTTTTCTATATCCCTTCACCATCACCCCATATCCCATCATTTTGACGAGAGATGACTTACTTGCATGGTGCATTAGACTGATGCAAATTTTGACATTTTCGCTCCGCAGTGCTCAAACGGTTCCAAATCGCGTCCTGATCAGTCTCCCAAAATTTGAACTCATTTGAAAAGAAACTGACTTGGTACAAACCATTTGAAGTTTATATGGAAATTACTATAGGAAAACCAAATGTTTTGTTCATATCCATCTAACAATTTACCATATCGCTCTGCTTTAAAACATGATAACTAAGCTCGTAGAAAATTTTATCAGCTACAACTTTGTCCTGAATCACTTTTCAATATAATGTAAGCATCAAAAGTTATCAATAATTAAAGCCACTAATGTCTTACCACAGACAAACAGACATAACACATTGAATATTTATCACTGTAAAACATCGTCGCTAAAACATTACCGCCATCTGTTGAATACACTGTGGTGGGTAGTACACTGAACAGATGGCGGTAGTGTGTAAACGTCAAACGCAAGGGAATTGACTATGCGCGTCACAGGTGGCGATACTACCAACTACGATACTTTTAAATTGACCGTTAAATGCTTGTTCGATGAACAACTTGCGAGTGTTATGTCTGTTTGTCTGTGGTCTTACGATTATGCTCAATCAACTGTTCAGCAGGCAACATTGGTGTTTCTGGCGCATGGAATAGAGCACAAAAATCATGGCTACTATGTCACACTGCAAGATACAGTGTTGCTGACAAAACAGCTGCTTGATCATGCCAAAAGATTATCAATCTCTTAAACAATTAATAACTATTTTATTTGACGTTTGGCTCAACAACTATATTCTGCTAAGTTGAAGCTGAGAAAATTTTCCATAAGTATAACTTTTGAATTTTTGAACAGTGCCATATGGAAAAGGGTAAGAAGACAATGAACAAAAAGTTTGGATTTCCCATAGTAATTTCCATATAAACTTCAAATGGTTTGTGCCAAGTCAGTTTCTTTTCAAATGAGTTCAAATTTTGGGAGACTAATCAGGACCCGATTTGGAACCTTTTGAGCACTGTGGAGCGAAAATGTCAAAATTTGCATCAGTCTAATGGTGCATGCCCAAGTCGTACTACAGAATAATATGCTGAGCGTGGTTATATCACAAATCGATAGAACTGAGGAATAATGAGGTAAATTCTACACAGTATTTTAAAGGAGCCAACTCTAAGCAGGTAATAATAGCAATTAATAATCAAACAACCATAAAAAGGTAAGAATGAATTTATTTATTTTAAATACAGTAATGACCCGATTTTGTCAGCCCCTCCGCGCTTCAGATTTTTTTTCTTTCAATAATTTCACATACCCATAAATCTAATTTTTTCTCATTCATCGTTAAGAGGAATATTTAAAGTATACTTTGGTGCAATAGGTTCAAGAAGATAACTGAAAAAGGGCATGGGTTTTGTAGAACATTGGAAAACATTTTCAAAAAAGGGGGTTGACAAAATCGGGACATTAGTGTATTCCATTTACATTTACATGATTTATCACATATTTCCGGAGAGCTTCGAGGTTGGAGCGTAGTTGCTTTTGTGGATGGGCACGTCATTTGTCGGTTTCTCGCGGATTGGGGCTCAGTCTGGAAAAACTAATAACACAAACAGGTAGAAGAATAGTTCCTCTATGATTTGTTATAGTTTGTTTGAAGTAATGAAATTGGGTTGTTAGCGGAATGCTAAATAAAACAGCAAAAGGGTTTATCTTCCATTTAATTCCACTTAATTAATTTTGGTATCCATGACAGATACGTATTTCGACTACAATGTGCAGTCTTCATCAGTGTCATTCCCACTAAAGAACTTATCAAAATCTAACCCCCTTAAGTACTCATCCCCTAGGTAAAAAAGTCAAAAAGTTTGTTTGCAGGATTGTTCTTCTGTTCGCGGGAGGCCGACGATGGACGTGTTTGTTTGCCGGATCTCGGAGTTCTCCGGATTTATGGTCGTAATCTAATACATACAGTTGATCACAATACGAGCCTAAAAGCTGCAGTGACCTAGTGAGCACCATAGCTTGAGTCGTCTGAAAGTATTGTGTATCGCATGGAGAGCCCAACCGAAATTCTAGCCTATTAAAACTGCAGTTGGTCAACTCGCGAAAAAAAAAAAATGAGCCCATTGTATTTTTTTCAACTTCTGGGAACTTCGTAAAACTTAAAACTT